AAACATTTTTTATTTATGAATTTTTGGGTATTTTTTCTAACACCTATATTTGTCCACATATTTTCTCATAGTATACCCAACATACAATGCCCATAATGGTTTTACCCAGCAAACAATGTTAGAACATGTACGAGGGTATAACAATTTTTTCAAGACATATGGAATAATTCCTAGATTTATTTTTCTCGGTAATAAATAGGTGCAATGTGTCCTATGATCCTACTCCACAAGCTGGTCATGTGTTAGATACCGTATCATCAATTCGTATTCAATAAAAATTTGAGTAGGTTGCACCATCCTGATCTTAGCTGAACAAAAATCCCAATTTTGTGACTCGGCAACTGGTGCATCAATGTAATTTTTTATTTTGAAATTGTTGTAATATTTAGAACATTTTTCGAAAAAAAAATTAAATAATTTTGACGGTAAGATTTTTTTTCAAAAAAAGTTTTTTTCATTTTAATTCATTCGAAACAAATTTTAGTCAAAGGATGTTAGATCTGGCCTGGGCTAATCCCAGGCCATTGACACATTGATTTTCTTTGCTTTAGTCCAAAGTATCAATTATCTTCGGTACAGGTCTTCTGTGGAAAGCTGGCTTGATCATAATCGAAAACATCCTTCAACAACAGCATCAATAAATATGGGACCTAGGATTAGGTTAGAAGCTAACAAGGAAGTATGAGGAGGTAGGTAAGAAATAGTTTCGATGGCTATAGAAATATGGACAGAAAACATATTACATGCTAAGGTTGCACTTTACCAACCTCTTTAGGTTTCTAATGATGATGTAGATAAAAGCAAGTTCCATAGTTGAAAATAAGCTTAGACACGGTGGAACGTGGACATCCACTAGTCTGTGCCGTCTGTAGGGCAGTACTGGTCAGTGACACAGGAGATGCTCTCCGTCTTCTCCTCGTCAACACACAGTCTGCAGTAATCAGTAACATCATGATCCCACTTACTGGTAAAGGTTCCGATATTGCAATGAACAGTAATGACTCCTGTCATTACTCTAATTTCAGCTTTACAACAGTGAGTTTGTTCTTTGTAGATTGTGATCCTCGTCTAGCTAATTCGTCTGCTTTTTCATTACCCAAGATGTCACAGTGGTACCTGGCTTGTGGAGCAATGGTTCTTCGTCATCAGTTTGAGTTTTGGGTATTACCAAATGAATTCAAAAATCGGATTTCAAAGAAAAATATACTAGAACTACCTTATCTTCCAATCGAAGTCTTTGTGGCACAAAATTGTTACCACACCCTTAAAGTACGCCGTTTTTGATCCAGGAATTTCATAATTTTTTTCTCAGGTGAAGGAACATTTGGATTTTCCTGAAATGCGAGTTCTTAACCCAGTTCTTACTTACTTAGCTAAAAATTTGTTCCATAAGCTGAACTTCAAATATATTTCAAGGCACGTCGATCTTGTGCGCAGTATTTTTTTCAATTTGTTATCCTTCACCTGATCTTCCCATCGGATTCGTGGACTTCCCCTTCCCCGCCAATGTAGTCGCTGCAGCTCAATACGTCAGACTATGTTGATGTCCGTGTATAAATGGTATAGCTTGTGGCTCATTTGATGCCGATATTCGCCGTCGACACAGATCGGCCCATAGATTTTTCGGAGATTTTTTCTCTCAAACACTTTAAGTGCTGCCGCATCTGCATGCGTAACACCCATGCTTCAGATCCATACAACAGCACCGGTAGTATCAGCGTCTTGTAGAGAGTGAGTTTGGTCTGGCGAGATGTGGCTTGCTTTTGAGTTGCTTACTCAGACCATAATAGCATCGGTTGGCCAACATTATTCTCCTCCGGATTTCAAAACTGATGTCATTAGTTGGTGGTACCGAGGTATATAAAATATTTGACTATGTCGAAGCTGTAGTTTTCAAGTTCCACAGTTGGTTCGAGTCTACTGGACGTCTGGCGCGTTGATACCATCAGCTTGGTCTTCTTGCCATTTACTGTCAGTCCCACTTTGGCAGACTCCGTCTCAATTCGTTCAAAGGCGGCTGTTACCGCAAAGGCGGCTGTTACAGCTTTGATAATGCGAGAGATCACATTCATTTTCATAAAGTTCACCCATGATATCCAATACGTTTCACGACGAGGCGAACTTTTCACGAAACAAGCCTTGAGGTCACACTTATTATCTCTATTAGATCAACCATCAATATTTTATTGTTGGTCTTCACGCCATTTACTGTCAGTCCAACTTTGGCAGACTCTTCTCAATTCGTTTAAAGGTGGCTGTTGCCGCAAAGGTGGCGGTTACAGCTTTGATAAGATCGAGAGATCGCATTCATTTTCATTAAGTTCACCAATGATACGTGCAATACGTTTCACGATTAGGGAAACTTTATCCAAAATAAGCCTTGAGATCGCACTTTATTATCTTCATTAGATCAACCATCAATATTTTATTGTTGTTCAGATTCTGAATTGTTTTATTTTATATTCAGAGTCATATTCCTCTTTTGTAAAATATTCCGCTACTGATCTCGTCCTTTTCAATTCAATTTGGTCGTCTATTGAAGACTGCCTAAAAATTGATAATCTACAGATTAACTTCTCTTCGTAGATCATTTAAATCTGCCATGTGGATCTTTCATTTTTCACTTCGATTTGGCCTCGTTTTGCAATCGGCCTGAAAACTAATAATCCATATCCTTTTTAAATTCTCAAAGCAGCATTCTGCCAGGTCTAGCTTTTTCCCAGACACTGTGTGTCACAAAGAATATCACTTATATATGGCCTTTTCTGGACTATATTATATGTCACCAAACGTCATAAAACTTTATTATCTCTATTATTATTTTTTTATCTCTATACTGTCCAAATTTTTTGATATTTTATTTAACATTATTATTGCAAAATGTATGGATAAACCAATTTTCTTAGTTCTAATTTAAAGATATTTTTATTTACGATTGAAAAAAACTTACATGTTTATTTTGCCTTCGATTTTTCGCTAAAGGTTTCCGCTAACTGAGATATCTGAAAAGAAATATTGCAAAGGGATTAGAAAGATTAAATATCTAGTATAAATTAGGCTCTAGTATAAATTAGTTTGAAAACAGTTTCAAAATAAGTTTTAAAAACATTGGTTTTGTTTTATAAGGTATATTTTTCTTCTATAACCAATAAAATCGTAATATAAACAAATTTTGCATAACCAGACTCGTGAAACGTGGTACCACAATGGAACCTTTTGTCATCCCTCTATTAACATCCTTCAATCGAGATTTCTGTTCACCACCTATCTGGACAAACCGATTTAATTCTAACATCATTTGTTATTTTTGTCAGAACAAAGTTTTGGGCTATGTCTGAAAACGAAACCAGATTGGTAGTCACTTATCTTGTCGTGAAAAGTTAGAAAATGTGAAATTTGCTTGCTAAGCATAATTTCCAAAATTAAAAAAAAAAGAAACTAGTCGATATTCGGGTAGAGTCTTAGGAATTTTCACTTTTGATATGGGAATGACATCGGTAATATTTTTGAATTTTTCCACTTGAAGTTTTAACGGGACATTTTCGAATCAAGTAAAATGTTTTGATCCAAGAAAGCAAATGTCCCCTTAGTTAACTTCAGAGTCTTTATTTAGGAGGTATGGTATAGCTGATATATATTTGCAAAATGTATGGATAAACCAGTTGTATTTCATTTTAATTATTGGCTCAGAGGGGATCAATTTTATTTTTCATTTATTCAGTTGAAATTTTTAATAAATCTTCCATGGATAGTTATAGTTTTGAATTGTATAAACAAAACGTTTGGTGTTCTCATTATTTGGGGATCTCAAAATAGGACTTTGCAGTGATTAATTGGAAAATGTGCGAACAAACGAGGTGTATTTTTCTTTACTATTGACCGGCATAACTTCACTTTATAAGGAATTTTCCTTCAGATTATGTTCGTTATCTGGTATATTTGCAAAATGTATGGATCAACAAGTTTTTTTCTCTTTAATATTCAGTTCTTGAGAATTTAGCAGGTCTAATTTCAATATAAAATGAAATCGAGAGCCTTCTTATACACTAGTAATTAAATTTGGTATCTGAGGAAGATAGGTAATTTCATATGGCATATAATCGCGGCAATTGACAATCTAAATGAGTCGTTTTATTTCAACGTGTTTGAGGAAAATGAGCGGGATAGAAATTATTGGGATTCTACTGTACTTTCTCAAATTATTTATCTTTAATTAAATTTTATTAAAAGTGACTTATACCATTTGGCATTTGATTCATTTATAATGTTGATTTGTTGGGTAATTGCATTCACGAATTCTTTACTACTCTACTACTTCCATATTCTCTACTCTCTTTTACCAATATGCTCTATACAAAACAAATCCCTCACATCATCATTGACGTAAATTCAAAAGCACATGGAAATAATTGGTACAAAAAAGGCGGAAAAAAGTCAAACCCCATACTATTACCAAATACAATTTCTGCGAGTAAAGCTACACAGCGAATACTCTAGATTTCTTTGCTCCCCAAAAGGAGTAGGAGAACGAATAAAGCAAAGTACGAAAAAGGAAAACGTGCAAATGCCACACAATTTAAGAGTGACGCCATTTTAATGAGAGTTGTCACATTGGACTTCTCGCTTATGATGCTTACTCTTAACCGTTATTTGTTATTACACACTCTCTCGCTCTCTTTCTCTCTCTACATGTATGTGTTGCCTTAACGGACTGTGAAATGACACACAGCTGGTCGTTTCTGATGCTTCTTCTTCTTCTTGTCGTGCAGTATTTTTCCTGTTTTACTCATTTTTGGGTGGTTGACTAAAGGCCGAGTGAAGAAAAGTCGATTTTTTCCTTTGACATTTTATTAAACAAAATAGAAAAAAAAATTGAAACTGTGTACAACAAATTGTGGAAAAATAGTTGTTAACTTAACAAAATTAAATACATTTCGTAAAAGTTGTTAAAAAGTTAAGAAAAGTGCTTGGAAAAATGTTTGTGGGCCACCTGCGAGCACCCGACACAACATGAATAATCGAAACACCAACTTTAAGGTTGGCCAAACTGTGGAAATTGTTGGAAAACATTTAGAGGGCCGTATCGCCTATATTGGTGTAACAAATTTTGCTCCTGGCCGTTGGATAGGTGTTGTATTGAACGAGGCGCGTGGTAAAAATAATGGACAAGTCCGGGGTATCTCGTATTTTAAGTGTGACCGAAATTATGGGATTTTTGTGCGACCCACACAATTGATAATGAAAAAAGCAACGTCGACGGTCTTGGCCGAGGAGGAAATGCCAAGAACACAAGATAGTCCGATTCGTGAAGCTGTTAAAGCGAGGGAGGTGGTGGAGAAGCCGGAGCAGCAAGAAAATGTGGTGTCATTGGTGGGTGGTGAGGCTGGTAAACAAGTAGAAAAATCGCAAACAGCTGCTATGGAGGTAAGGAAAATCGTAACACCACCTCCGCCAGCCCCTGAAATCAAACATGAAACGAATAAAGATGGCCCAGTGAAACCCAAAGATGCGACGGCACCAACATCGTCCACTTTAATGGTCAAGAAGGTACCCAAAATGCCGACTTCCATAAATCTGCTGAAGACCACAAAAATCAATCAACCCAAAGAGGTAACCCCCTTGCAGCCCAGCACCAGCCAGATCTCGCTACACAATATCTCTGGACCTTTGCGTAACCTCCGGCCGCCACCGGCACTGGCGCCCAAACGTAGCAAAACCTCGATGAGCCCCTCGGAATCATTTTGTTGTGCCAAACGTTCCTCTTTCGTCGAAACCGGATTTTTAGAGATTTTACGGCCCCAATTTACCCCAGGCCAACCGATTAGATCTCCCACATTTAGCAGTATGGCTTTGAACTCCAGTTCGGCGACAAATCTTAACGATCTAAAGCAGCAACAAAAACAAATGGAGGTCAAACTGAAGGAATTCGAAGAAGAAATTGAGCAGTTAAAATCTCAAAAATCTGAGGATAAACGTAAATTACAAAGTATGGAACGACTGAGATTACAAAATGAACAGCTGTTGGAATTTAAGGTAAGGATAATGGATCAGCAGACGAATTTGCAGAGAGAGCTGACCAGACTGCGACAGGAGTTGCGGGAGTGCCAGGAAATGAAGAGTAAATATCAAAGGGATTTGGATGAGGCGGCGGAGAACATCGAACTGCTGACCCTGGACAAAGAAATGGCGGAGGAGCGGGCCGAAACTCTGCAACTTGAGCTGGAATTGGCCCAGGAACAAAATGAGGAACTGAGCCTCGATGTGGAGATCCTCAAAGCGGAAAATGAGCGTTTCCTGTGCGGGGAGAATGGTGAGAACAATGCGGCGGTCATCAACAAAGAAGAGAATCTCTCTTCTCATGGAGAGATACGAAAACTGGAGCAATACAATCAAAGGTTAAGAGAAACTGTCATCAAGCTAAGAGATGTCCTGACGGAAGAGAAACAGCTCTCCATGAAGGCATCCAAAGAATTGGAAACGAAAAATTCCGAAATTCTCGAACTCAAGAAGACCAAAGAACTGCTGACCCAACGTTGTGATGTTATGGAGAGTCACATAATTGATCTAAGGGAGCAGGTGGATGCCGCGTTGGGCGCCGAAACCATGGTGGCCACCTTGGCCGATGCCAAATTGGAGTTGGAAGATCGTGTGCGGCTCCTGGAGGAGGAGGTAAGTGAGCTGGAAGCCTTGGAAGAGATCCATGAGCAGTTAATCGAAAGTAATCAGGAATTGGAGCGAGATCTAAGGGAGGAAATTGACTTGCTAAATGGTAATATACGTACCCTGCAGCAGGAAAAGGATGCGGCCTTGGAAACGGTATACGAACGGGATTGCACGATTATGAAATTCAGGGCTCTCGTGAAGACCTTAAATGAAAGGGAGCAGATAAAAGAACAAATGGCTCTGACCACAGCAGCTTCGACCACGGCAACGGCCTCCACCTCGGAGGAGCTGAATAGCATTAGTAGCTCCAATCAAGAGTTCATGCCCGGAGTAGATTTCCAGCAAATCTTTGCCTCCACCAAGGCTTATGGCCGGGCTTTGGAGCTGCAACTGGCCTCGGTGGAATTGAAAATGGTTCAGCTGCAAAATGAATATCTTAAGGCCTTCCTGCCGGAAGAATTGATGTTGAGAGGAGGGGCCTATGATGTCATACTCATCCTCATTGTGCTGCAGAGGTGCATGGAGAAGATCGATATCATTTGCTCGGGTATCCATGAAAAATTCCCCGCATCGTGTGAGTTCGGGCGTGATGCCATCTTTGAGGGTTATTCCGTACATCGATTTGCCTTCCGCACCAGGTGTTTGTATTTGCTAAGATCGCTGAAAATGATACTGCAACAGCTGGACTTTGCCCTGAACCATTGTGACTATGAGATCTGTACGCATGCCGCCATCTATCGGGGGGAAATGGAAGCGCAGGAAAAGCAATTGGATGAGTTGCTGAGGTTGCTGAAAAAGGGTTTGTTGGATGAAAATACCCCCGTGGAGGCCTTGGAGGGGGCCTCAAGCTTTTTCAATTCCCTGCTAAATAATTTATTCGCTTCACAAAACTTGGCGGAACTTTTGGATGAACAAAAACTCTACGGCAGTCTCATCGAAGTCTATGATGTGGCCTTGGATTGTGTTAATACCCATGCAGGGCTCCTGTATACCATAATCCAGTTGGGTGATGAGCAAACGGACTCATTCTGCAGCATGCAATTCCTAATGGAACATGTGCGAGCTTTTAAGCAACAACTTAAGCAATTGCAGAGGAAATTACCCAATAAAACCATAACCTATAGTACCCTGCAATGGCCTCAGTTGCAGAGACTGCATGAGCGCAACGATTACCTGGGCCGGTTAATTGGGCTCCTCAGCTCCACGGCTCGTGAGGCCACCAAAGACATTGCCAATACCTCAAAATCGGAAATTGGTGAGCGTGGCAACAATGACATTGCCATTGATCATGAACGATTGTGGCGGATCATCAGCTTCAATTGTAATAAAATGGCGCCCGAGGGTTATCAAAAATCTCCCGTGGAATTTTTCCAAAATTCCATTGCCATTTTGCAGGAGCAACTCGATGAATTTCAACAATTCATCAAAGATTCGGAAAAGGCTCTTTCGAAAAATCTCAACACAACCTATGTACGATCCGAAGAGGTTACAATACTCCAACAGGCTAACGAAGTCAAAAAACATTACGAGGAGATAAAACTCCTCCATCATCACATCTCCGAGAGGGACAAGGAAATCAAATCCCTCAAATATATGGCCAAGATGAAGCAGAATGACTATTCGGAACTACAAATCCGCAAAGATATGGCCGAAAAACAATTGCACAAACAACAACAAGACTATACGGAGCTAATGCAACAAATCACCGAGAAAATGGAAGAGTTGCTCGAAGATCTACAAAGCAAACAAATCAAATTACTCAATTCGCTCGACAACAACTCCGCCAAATTGGAAAAACTCGAGAGAATGCAGGTTACGCTCAAACAATCCATGGCAAATAGTTCTCAAACGCACACCAGCTGTTCTCATGATTCTCTGCGGGAGATTGAAAATCTCTCTTTGTCGTTGAAACAACAACGTGATCACAGCATTGCCATACAATCAAAACACCTAAAAATGGAACTGCGAAAACTAGAACCTCTCCATGTACCACCCTGCCGGGAAATGCCGCAGAAAAATCAAAACATGCAAGAGGAAATAAAACAGCTGCAGCATGAGTTGAATAAATTGAAAAAATCATGGATATTGGGGTATATTCAGCTCAATAATCAGGCTTCCAGGTCCACAACATCAGCGCCATCTTCACCCACTTCGACACCCACACCATCGTCATCGTCCGCTGCATTACAACGAGAATCAAGGCATCTTTTTGAACATATCCTGGATACCTATTATCGTTCGCATCCTCATCGCCAGATACCAACGGATTTTGGACAATTTCCATGTCGAGAGTTGAAGGAGTTATTTGAGTAGGTATTTTAGGAAAAAAAAATGAGAGAGAAAGAGAGTAAAGAGAAGTAGTTGAGTAAATAATACGTTTCGTAGTGTTTCAAAAAATTTAACAGTATTTTAAATGAGAAAAAAAAATGCATAGAGAACAACATTACAATTTCAAGGATTTTAAGATTGAAACTAAAAAAATCCCCAAATCCTCAAAATAATGGGCCCTACATAAAATACATTTATATATTTAAAAATATTAAAAAAACAAAACTAATAATAATTACAAAAATTTAGTGTAATTCGTGGAAATATAACAACAACAAAAATATTATACCTCAAAATTAAAATCCAGAAAACACATTCGATTTCTGTAATAAAGAGTATATGGCGCGCGAAGTAATCTTTCATACTTCAAAATTAAAATCGGAAATAATACCATAGATCACGAAGGACTTTGGACCATAATATCCATTCCATTGCAGCAATGAAATGGCGCCCAAAGCCTATCGGAGTAGAATATCTCCAATGCCATCTCGTGTAGAATTGCTACCTCTGCTGTCAACTACTAAAGAGTAGATGGCGCCCGAAGTCATCTTTCATATTTCAAAATTAAAATCGGAAATCGAAGAAGGCAAAAATGTCGCATCCACTGATCATGAACGCTTGAGGTATATTATTCCATTCAATTGTGACAATAATATGGCGCCCGAAAGTTATCAGAGTAGAATATCTTCGATGTTATCTAGTGTAGAAAGTCTACCCCTGATATCAACTACTAAAGAGTAGATGGCGCCCGAAGTCATATTTCATATTTTAAAACTTGTAATCGGAGAAAAATCGCAATAATGACATAGTCATTGATCATGAAAGTCTTTGGCGCATTATCACATTCAATTACTGCAACAAAATGGCGCCCAAAGGTTATCAGAGTACCATCTGATGATTTCAACTACTAAAGAGTAGATGGCGCCCGATGTAATATACTATGAAGAGGATGCGCCTCAAATTTTATTAAAGAAAAATCGAAAAAATATGACCATTAATAGAAGAGTCTTAAGGAGATTCTCTGTTCCACAATCTGCAAGAATTTTCAGTTTTCTTTGATGCCATCTATTGCCGAGTAGATAAGTAGATAGTGTATAATAGATTACTCTGATGTCAGCTATTACAGACTCGAGAAAACCCGTAAAAAAAAACCTAGTAAAACTTTTAAAATTTAAAATCGGAAATATATTTCAATACATCGAAGATTCCTACAAACAGATTCTCTGTTGCACAATTTCTAAGAATTTTGTTTGATGCCATCTATTGCGAAGTAGAAGAACTCTATTGCTGTTGCTCTGGCTAATGTCAACTATTACAGACCAGAAAATGTCTCTGTTCCCTTACACAAAACCGAGTATAACCTTTCAAATTTATAAGGGAAAATCGGAAACAGATTTCGATAAATAATAGGTTCTTTTGCAAATAGATTTTTTTCAGATCCAAAATCTGTAAGAATCTTCTATTTATCGAAATCTCTTTTTTTATTTTTTTCTGTATAAATTTAAAAATTTTAATAGGTTTTGTATACGGAAGCAGTGACATTGTCTGGTATGAAGTAGTTTAAATCAAATGCAGTTATTCCACACTAAATGACATCAGAATTCTTCTAGTCCTCAATAGTTTTTCTACACAACAATAGATGGCATTAAAGCATGAATAGTATCTGATTATAAAGTATATGGCTATAATCTAATCTGAGATACTCCATAGTATATTAGACATCAGACAACTTTTTTATTATAGTAGATGACATGTGAGGCCATCTACACCTTAGTAGTTGAAATCTGAGGTTCTCTGATTTCAGCTACTGTAGGCTAGAATATGTCCTTGTTCCCGTACACAAGTAAAACTCTTCAAATTTATAAAGGAGAAGAAACGAAAACAGTTTTGGAAAAAATAGAAAATTTTTGCAGATTATGAAACAGAGTAAGGAGATTCGCAGTTTCACAATCTGCAATATATTTCCTATTAATCGAAATATTTCTTTCAATATTTCTTTTATCGAATTGAAAAGTTCGACTAGATTTTTGTACGGGAACAGTGTATCTATACTACACTAGATGGCATTCGAGATTGGCCACTCAACAATAGATGGCGTAAAACGATGGCAACTGATGTCATGCTCTATCATAGTCGATATTTGAGGTTATGTTCTCTATAGCAGATAATTTCTATTAATAATACTCTATGGTAGAGGTAATCAGATGACTTACTCTTTATAGTAGTTTAGACTTTTGGGCGCCATCTACTCTACAGTAGTTAATATCACAAATCATCTTCCTAAAAGTAGATTACAATTTTTTATATTTATTATTGTTGTTGTATTTACACCAAAAACACACTACTCTACTAATTTATTGAACTACAATAAACAAAATGGAAAACAAATACAAAAATCTATGCCTTGTTCTATTGTTTTTTTTTTTTTTTTTTTAATGTAAACTTTTTGTGATTTACTTCAAAAAATGATTTAAAAGAAGTCTAAATATTTTTTTTCAACAAATATAATTAAGCTAATTTTATTTAAAAAGAAAAGAAACAAAAATAAATTTATTTTAAAAGGAATTTTATGGAAGTAAATTTTGAAAAAATGCTACGATTTTGAAATCTAAATTAGTTCTAAACATGTTTGTACATTGAAAAGAAAATTATTTAAAAGCTGATTTTTTTAACGGAAATTTCTTTAATAAATAAGGGATCACTGGAGGGATTAAAAAATATAAGCACTGAGCTCCCATAAAACTATTTCATTAATAAATCAAAGCTCTGTGAACCCATACACAATTTTCTTAATAAATAAATCGACACTTAGCGGACACTAAAAAATATTTTTTATACCCTTCACCACACTGTGGTACAGGGTATTATGTCTTTGTGCATATGTTTGTAACAGGCAAAAATAATCGAGATAGACCCATGGTTCCTTTTGAGAATATGCATAGAATCACTTTCCGAATCGATTTATGCATGTCCGTCCGTCCGTCTGTCCGTCTGTCCATGTTAAATTGTAAACAAAGTACAGGTCGCATTTATGATCCGATTTGGATGAAATTTGGCACAGCTCATTTGTTTGGCCCAAGGACGAACCCTATTGAAATTGGGAAAAATCGGTTCAGATTTAGATATAGCTCCCATATATATTTTTGCCCGATTTACGGACTTTAGACCCAGAAGATCTTTCGATTTGCACGAAATTTGGCATAGCGTACTGAATTGAGCCACGAAAGATGTGTGCCAAGTTTCGTGAAAATCGGTTCAGATTTATATATAGCTCCCATATATAGTTTCGCCCGATTTACGGACTTTAGACCCTGAAAATCTTTCGATTTGCACGAAATTTGGCATAGCGTACTGAATTGAGCCACGAAAGATGTGTGCCAAGTTTCGTGAAAATCGGTTCAGATTTAGATATAGCTCCCATATATAGTTTCGGCCGATTTTTGGTAAATGGCGTACCAAAGTCCCTTTATATCTTTCGATTTTCACGAAATTTGGCACAGAGTACTGAATTAGGTCCACAATGATGTGTGCCAAGTTTCAGATTTAGATATAGCTCCCGTATATATCTTCCTCCGATTTAAGGTAAATGGTGTACCAAAGTCCCTTTATATCTTTCGATATTCACGAAATTTGGCATAACGTACTGAATTGAGGCTAGAATGATGTCTGCCCAGTTTCACGAAAATCGGTCCAGATTTAGATATAGCTCCCATATATAGTTTCGTCCGATTTCATGTTAATGGTGCCCCCAAGTCCCTATATATCTTTCGATTTGCAGGAAATTTGGCATAACGTACTGAATTGAGCCTAGAATGATGTCTGCCCAGTATCGAGAAAATCGGCCCAGATTCAGATATAGTTTCGTCCGATTTCATGTAAATGGTGCACCAAAGTCCCTATATATCCTTCGATATATTTGGATAGAGCTTCCATATATATTTTCGCCCGATTTTAAGTAAATTGGACATCAAACTCTTCATGCTAGTCAGGTTGACATCAAATTTTGCACAACGTACAAAATTGAGCATAGAATTACGTAGTTGCGTTTTCTAGAAGTACAGACATAGCCCAACAGATAACCTATTTATATTTGATTGAAGTCGATTTATATAACTTATGGATATATAGGTAGATTCACATTTAGATAAATATCACATATTTTATTTCATCCAATTTCATGTTAATAGTCCTGTTTAATATATCCATAGTGGTGAAGGGTATCATATAGTCGGCCCCGTCCGACTTTACTATTTTCCTTACTGGTTTTTTAATAAGCCCTTAAAGGTCCCACAAAAAATTTCAATTGGTGGCTCCCGAAAAAGTAAGAAAGTAATAACACAAAATTAAAAAAAAAAAATTTTAAATCTGATTTGTTAACAGAAATTTTAAAAGATATTTCTTTAACGAATTTCGCCCTTAGCGATAACTGAAAAAACATGTACTTAAAAAGTCCAAAGCTCCCTTAAACATATTTTATTAAGAAATTAAAGCTGAACAAAAAAGCAAGAAATCAACACTGTCTCTAAGAATTTCTGTATATAGAAAAATTATTTTTTTCTAAAAAAATCATCTCAAAAAAAATTTTTTTTTAACAAATCCCGGCTTTGTAATCCCTGGAAAAACACATTAGATTCCGGCGTGGTGATCCCTGAAATAAAATATAAAATTTTTTTTTTAAATAAATTCATGCTTGTTGGTTCTTAAAATAATATTTCAATAATAAATCTATACTTGAAGATCTTCAAGAAAAATATTTCTTTAATATGGCCATGCTTGAAATACTTCAAAAAAGGTTCTGAAATAAATTTTCCCTTAATGACCTCTAAAAGAAGTCCACATTGAAAAAAAAAAATATTTCTTTAATAAGAAAGGTGAATTTTAAATAAAAAAAAATTATGAAATATATATTTTTTTTATTATTGAAATACAAAATATGTTGTAAGTGCTCAATTGTGAGCGAACATTAAGAAGCCGTGCTTTCTTTA